TGTTAGTAAAACTGGAAAACCTACAAAAACATGTCATGAATGTCGGCAAAAAAGATTAGAAACTTACCATAATACAAAGCTTAACAATAACGTATCTTATGATCTGGATGTTGTTGAACCTAAAACAATGCAAAAAGTGTTATTTGAGTCTATTTTAAAAGTTGGAAATAATGAATTTGTTGAAAATGAAAATTCTGGTGTAGAATTTTTATACAAAATATCTACTAATTCCTTAAAAAGTGAACCTCATGAACTTGCAAAAACAATTGCCGAAATAGTAGGATCTGCCGATGGATACTATTATATATAAGTATTACATATACGTAACAATAATATATCTTTAAAATTAAATAATTTATTTACTAATAATAATATTATACTTATATATTGTAGTTATCATCTGGTTTATAGATCTTAAAAAAATTCTAATCACTATACATTTTTATATAATTGTTCTCAAAGTTGTACTTTAGCTAAACGTCCTCGAAAAAATGAAAATCTTGACAAGCAGCGTGATAGAGGATATATTGATCATTTTGATTGCAATGGTGTTTTAAAAATATCACTTAATATAGAAATAAATATAGCAACAATTGATCTTCGTCACACTGTACTTCATAAGCGTCCCGATAGATGCAATACATCTGATGACATTAAAGCTGAAATAAAAAAAAATATTCATCAAATGCCTGCAGATATTTTTAGACAATTAGAACAGCAGCATCCAAATCTAACTCAAAAACAAGTTCATGCATGGTAGACTTATTTTTTAAAAAAGGAATATCTTCGTGACGATAATCAATTAATTTCTACAAAAATATTAGTAGAAGAAAATGAATATAAAGTTATTTTGATCAACAATCAATATATTCAATATTTGGGTTTTATTACACCGTTTTTTGAATTATTGAAAAATAATAAGGAAATAGTTACGGATGCTACATACAAGACGAATGCTTTGGGTTATGAGTTGTATTCAGTTATCGGTCACTATGATGGATCAGGATTCGCACTTGCATATTTGTTTATTGAGGGGTCAAAAAAAAATGATGGAGCACGGACAGATATTTTAACTTTATTTTTTCAATCATTATTTAATTTGGGATTAAATAATGTTAATTTTTTTTTAACTGAAAAAGATTTCGGACAGATATCTGCTGTGCGAAGAACATGGTCAAATGCCAAAATTCAAATTTGCTTTTGGCATATAAAGAAAGCAATTAAAAAACATCTTGCTGACAATGTTTACCCAAAAACGATTAATTACAGTTCATATTCAGTGCATAAAATACTTAAATTTGTTGATATTGAATTTTATCCAACACCACCATCACAATTAACTTTAGCACAAAAAAAAAATTTTTTTTTTGTCCTAAAGAGTTACGTTCTAAAATTATAGAGATGATGGAAAGTCATATGCACCTTCATTCTTTAATTCCGAATATTAATGGATTTTATTTGTCGGCAAATGATATCTGGGAACAATCAACAAAACAAATTTACGAATTTTGTGTTAATCACAATTTAAAACTTCTTTGGACGTATCTATGGGAACATTGGTATCGTAAAGAAATCTGGAATATGTGGGCCCGTTTAGCATCTAACAAGATTTGTATTTTTCATACTACTATGTTGTGTGAATCACACTGGAAGGTTTTAAAGTGAGATTTTTTACCAAGATTTTTTAGACCACATCTCGACTTATTAGCATATATTATTGTAACTCGCTTACTTCCACACCATCAACAACAATATAATAAGTATTATTCTAAACGTGAAATGCCTTCTTGGCGTAAAGAATTTAAAAAAGAATGGATTACATTAAGCAAAAGGCCAATTAATCATAATTACGTTACTAATGTCGAAAAATGGATTTGTGGATGTTCAGGATTTTTGATCAACCGATTTTTTTTGTGTAAACATTTGATTCAAGCATCTCAATTTATGATTGATATATCTTTTTTTAAAACTGTCCAACGACAAGAAATTTATCCGTTTATATTTTTACCGCCAAAATCTAAATTTATTCAACAAGCACAATCTTCTATGCAGTTAATGCATTCAGATGCAGGTAAAAATCAAATTTTTTTCAAGCTAATACTTGTTTTTTTTATATATTCGATCTTAATATGATTTAATTTATCGTTATTATTTAAAATCTAATCTAATATGCTAAATTTATTTAATAAGTGCAATCTTCAAATGAAGGTAAAAATCAAGCTTTTCTAGATTAAACTTGTTTTTTTATATATTCGATCTTAATATGATTTAATTTATCGTTATTATTCAAAATCTAATGCTAACACTAAATTTATTTAATAAGCGCAATCTTTAAATGCAGGTAAAAATCAAAAACTTTTCCAGGTTAAAACTTGTTTTTTTATATATTTGATCTTCGTATATTTTAATTTTATCATTATATTTGATTTAAAAATAGATAATACGATAGAGGTTACTAATTCAATTGATGACAATGATACTGAATCAATGCAAATATTTAAAGAATATAAGGCAGTGCTTTCTGATGCACTCAAAATTGTACAAGAACAAGAAAACGCTAATAATATTCAATGGGCACGGTCTGTTCAAGGAAGTTTTAAAGGCATACAAAATTTAGTAACGGATATTCAATCTTATCAACGAAGAATAACAAACCCACGTACTTGGAAAGATCATAACCAACATACGATGTTTTTAAATTCATAATGCATTGTAAGTATTAAAACGAATTATTAACCTATAACAATTATGGAATTGTAAATAATCTTTTTATACTATTCATTATAATTTAAAAGATGACATTAACAAGACAAAATGGCTATAATCTCTTTATTCAACTTGAATCACAGGTAATGTATACAATTTGTAAAGTATTTTTAGCAAAGTACTATATCTTAACTATGCAATTTAAATAATAATTAGAAGTTACGGTTTTCTTGAATAAACTTTGAAAACCAACGTTGGAACAAAGATTTAATTTGATATCAAATGATATGCTAAATACATAATGTAAAAAAAATAAAACCATTAAGTTGCTTTTAAAAAGCAAGCAATTATTTTATAATTATTTTTTAACATTACATTAATGTAAGAAAAATCAAGTTTGTATTTATATGCAGTTGTGCATTATATACTTCGATTTTAGTAAACACATATTATAAATAGGTTGGATGTGCTCCAAAATTGATTAGCAAATACGTATTTAATTGATTTTTTGAAAGAACGTAACAAGATACTAATTCAAACAAGTAAATAAACGAAATCTAGTATTAATAAATTAAAGTTTTATGCTTGATCTCTGAGAAATTTTTTTTTCAAAGAGACAAATTGAAATCTAAAAAGCAGGCCAAAAAACTTCTGATTTAATTAAAGCAATTTATTATTATATATTTAGACATTAAAGTACAATTATTTATAAATACTTCTTTTTTTTTATTAAAAAGATTTAATCAAATTTAATCTATGCTAGTTCTTACTACATGTATAATTACTATTTAAATTCATATTCTAAATATAACTTATTTATTTATTTTTTAGCATATAATTTTAAAACATCTGCTACCGTAATTTTAATAATAGCCTTCAAATTTTATTCTATACTATGTCTTTCTTCACTTTTATTGATCAATTTCCATGCTGGATCATATTTGAGAATTATGTGGGAGGTGCATAATATCGGTTCTTTCCAAAAAAGGTGTATCTTAAGTAGTCTACACAGATCAAAAAATAATGAAATATCTAAAATAGATAAAATTAAAAATTTTACTCTCTATCATATAAATGCAATAAGTTACTTCCAATGTTCGCAAAAATTCCGTAGCATAACGCCAATTAGTATTCGAATATACGTAGGTCAATTTATAAAGTTATGTAAAGTTTCGATAATTTTTCATATATCTCTGTTTAGATATTTTTAATAACGATAGGTCCTTCTATAGTGACACAAACTAGTGAATTCCTATTGGTCAATACGTAGTACAAATCTTGTGCTACCGAACATTTTTTTTGGTGTTGTTGGGGTAGTTCCGCTTTAGACGACACCCTATTTTGGAAAAGGATTTAACATGTGAAAATTTAACGGGTTCCAAACTTGAATTACAAGTTTTTTTTTTACAATCCATCTTTCAGATATAG